AGCTGTCTTAGTGGATGTGACGTGATATTCTCATTATGCTTTTGATTTGCATTTCCCAAATGGCTAATGATGCTGAATGGCTTTTCATGTGCTTATTACCCACTTGGATATTTTCTTTGGACAAATACTCTTTAACTCTTTTGCCCATCCTCCAGTTGGGTTTTGTTGTTCTTGTTGAGTCATGATCCTACTCTTGGGAGAACAAAAAAAAGAATTTCTGGTACCAGAAATTGAACCCAAGGGGCCTCAACCACTGAGCTACCTCCCTAGCCCTTTTTATTTTTTATTTAGAGACAGGGTCTCACTAAGTTGCTTAAGGCCATGCTAAGTTACTAAGGCTGGCTTTGAACTTGTGATCCTTTGCCTCAGCCTCCCTCTAGGATCACAGGTGTGTGCTGTCATGCCAAACTCACAAAAATAATTTAACACAGTGTGGTTATATAATGACAATTATATGCTCAAGTTCTCATAAGGGTTTCAAAGAGAGGTGCACTATCGGAGGTGAGGGGCACATGTGGAAGTCTTCCTGGGGAATATGTTACTGAAACAGTCTCAAAGTATGTGAGCCAGGCAAAAGGGTAGGAAAATGGGCATTCCAGAAAGAAAGAAAATAAAAGCATGAAACAAGATGGCGGGTACTAGAAACTACAAACATTTTCCTATCACTGAAGTGAGTCCAAGATAGACAATGGCAAGAGATGAAGCTGGAGAAACAGACAGCAACTAGATCATTCCAAATATTATAGGCAATTATAGGGTGTGTTTAGGATTTATCCTGAGAGCTATGGGGCATCACTGAAATGCCATAAGCAGTGGAGTTACATGGCCAGTCTTATTTTAGATCTGAGCTTCCCCATCCTTTTCCACATCACATTATAATATACATAACATGATAATTTTTGCATGTCATTCTGGGGGAGGTAGATTTGCAGCTTCCTGCTACTAGACATGCTAGGCTGTTTAAGGTCCAACCTAGCTGATTTAAGAAGCAAAGATTGGATGGGCTGGGATTGTGGCTTAGAGGCAGAGTGCTCACCTAGCATGCTTGAGGCACTGGGTTTGATCACATAAAAATAAAATATTGTGTCCATCTATAACTAAAAATATTTTTAAAAAGCAAAGATTGGAAAGCTTTTTTTTTTAAGCTGGAACATTTTGATAGTCATGTGAAGAATACACTGGAGGCAAACAGCACTGGCAGGGTGTCAGGTTAAACTAATTATGCATAGTAGTGCTTGGGCAATTTGGTGAGACCCCATCTCAAAACTAAAAAACAGAAAGAATTCTGAGTGTGGCTCAGTGGTAGAGCACTTGTCCAGCATGTGCAAGGCCCTGAGTTCGATCCCCATTACTGGAAAAAAAAAAGAGAGAGAGAGAGAAGAGACTTCTCTCCACTCCCACCCCATTTCTTTCACTATTTGCTTCTCAGACCTTTTCACAGACATATGTCTTCATAATGGCTAAATAAACAAGGCTTGCTCCCAGTCTTTCAACTCCTGAGAAACATCTTTTTTTAAAAAATTTTTTATTGTTGGTTGTTCAAAACATTACATAGTTCTTGATATATCATATTTCACACTTTGATTCAAGTGGGTTATGAACTCCCATTTTTACCCCATATACAGATTGCAGAATCACATCAGTTACACATCCATTGATTTACATATTGCCATACTAGTGTCTGTTGTGTTCTGCTGCCTTTCCTATCCTCTACTATCCCCCTTCCCCTCCCCTCCCCTTCACTCTTCTGTCTCTACCCCCTCTACTGTCATTCATTTCTCTCCCTTGTATTATTTTTCCCTTTCCCCTCACTACCTCTTGTATGTACTTTTGTATAACCCTGAGGGTCTCCTTCCATTTCCATGCAATTTCCCTTCTCTCTCCCTTTCCCTCCCACCTCTCATCCCTGTTTAATGTTAATCTTCTTCTCATGCTCTTCATCCCTACTCTGTTTTTAGTTACTCTCCTTATATCAAAGAAGACATTTGGCATTTGTTTTTTAGGGATTGGCTAGCTTCACTTAGCATAATCTGCTCTAATGCCATCCATTTCCCTGCAAATTCTATGATTTTGTCATTTTTTAATGCAGAGTAATACTCCATTGTGTATAAATGCCACATTTTTTTATCCATTCGTCTATTGAAGGGCATCTAGGTTGGTTCCACAGTCTTGCTATTGTGAATTGTGCTGCTATGAACATCGATGTAGCAGTGTCCCTGTAGCATGCTCTTTTTAGGTCTTTAGGGAATAGACCGAGAAGGGGAATAGCTGGGTCAAATGGTGGCTCCATTCCCAGCTTTCCAAGAAATCTCCATACTGCTTTCCAAATTGGCTGCACCAATTTGCAGTCCCACCAGCAATGTACAAGTGTACCCTTTTCCCCACATCCTCGCCAGCACTTGTTGTTGTTTGACTTCCTAATGGCTGCCAATCTTACTGGAGTGAGATGGTATCTTAGGGTGGTTTTGATTTGCATTTCTCTGACTGCTAGAGATGGTGAGCATTTTTTCATGTACTTGTTGATTGATTGTATGTCCTCCTCTGAGAAGTGTCTGTTCAGGTCCTTGGCCCATTTGTTGATTGGGTTGTTTGTTCTCTTATTGTCTAATTTTTTGAGTTCTTTGAATACTCGAGAAACATCTTTTTGATGTGCAAACATCAAGAGTAGACAGTAAGAGTCTTACTTGTGTATAGGAGGAGTGGGAACTTGCTGCAATCTGCAAAACTACTTCCTGTCATAAAGATATGAGAAATTTATTTATTTTTTCTTCTGATAAAGTAAACATAGGTGACCTCCTAAGTTATCATGATGAAGTTAGGACAGAAGTTTGAGTGACAAAAGGTTCTCTCAAGTTCTGTTACTTGAGGAATAGTTATTGCTTATCTTGAGAATGTGCATGTAACGGGTTGTATCTGCTTGGCTGTATAAGGGGGTGACATTCCTTTATGTTTTCACAATCTCTTAGTGATACCAGTGGGTGTCCAGTAGGGGTTCAGGTTCTTGGTGTTCCTAACAAAGGGCTGAGCAAGGCTCACAGAAGCAACAAGCAGAGTGCAGATTTATTCAAAGTGAAAGTACAATTCTAAAGGAGAGTAGAGCAGGCAGAGTTTGAGAGTGGCCCATGGCCCTGATACCTGGGTGAGTCTTGTCTTGTATAGTCTACCTGTGGACCGAGTGGAGATTAAGTCCCATTTTTTCCTATTGATTACTTTATTTTTGCCTAATTAGAACACAGAACTTGTGGTGGGAGTTGCTATGGTGATAAGCCCTCCAAGGCAGAAGTTGCCATGGCAATGGGATTTATTGTAAACAGGACTATAATGACTCTTCTCTCAGTTTTGTATTCTGGTCAGCATTTTTCTTGTACCCTGCCTCCACCATCTTGATGTCCGTAACTTCGACCTCATTAGAAGTTGCCTGTGATGTGTATCACATTCCGGCTTAATGCTTATTCACTAATAAGTGCATTTTTTTCCCTTTACAACCTTTGTGGAGAGAATTTTTGAGTTGGGAGATCTCTTGTAAATTATATTTCCCTCAAAGTGATTTCATCTGTCTGCAGTGTACACTGATGAAGTTTCTCCTTGATCAAACTTTACTCAGGCTCTTCTGAATGGTCTTCCCAACTAGGCCTTGACATTTGCACTTCCGTGTCTCTGTTTTTGCATGACTCAGTTTTAGCAAGAATCCTGCTAATTTGTTTACCCACAATCCCCCTCTCCCATATCGGATCCAATTCTTCATCTTCCCTCTTCCCACAAGGTGATGTTTGATCATCCTGGCCTGTCTTCAGCAAAAAATCCTGTTAGGACAGTTTAGCCAGAATGCCCCCTCACCCCTGATGTTTCCTTTTAGTTATTTTCACTCCACTGACCCCCCATCCTGCTCCTGAACTATAACTTTCAACTTTTCCTGGTTATATTTAGCATTTAGTCCATTTCAATACTGAGGTCTCCTTTCCCTTTTTGCAATAGTCCTGGGGAAAAAAACCCTGTTTTTACTGCTTCTTCTACTGTACGGCTCCAGTTTTCTTTGACAATAAGTTATAGAAAACAAGGAAAAGATGAAACCGAAGGACAATTCTAAGGCCAGAGCATAAAAGAGCACTGTGCTAAAGTATAGACTTTACTCAATAGGCATGGAGGAGCTATGGAAGACTTTTAGTCAGGAAATTAAAATAAATATTTTTTAACCTTAGAAAAATCACTCTGGCAATAGTGTTAGAGGGAGGTTGAAGGGGAGAAGGAAAGAAGGGTGAAGTAGCACAGCACTGAATGCAGACACACTAATTTAAAAATACTATTTAAGGTTTTTTAAAAACTCTATTATTACTTAATAAGTTATTCCTGTATCCATGAATTTGTATGTGTGGTGCTGGAGATTGAACCTAGGGTCCTGAACATGCTAGCTAAGTGCTCTACCACTGAGCTATATCCCCAGCCTTCAAAAAGTTATTTCTGGACTAACTTTTCTGCTAGCAATCCTAACAATATCTGGAGTTTGTTTGTTTATTTATTTATTTATTTATCTGAAGCACAAGGAAAACATTTCTCCAAGATCCAGAGAGAGGAAGAAAACAATAGTGAGTGTGGCTGGGGCTCACCACATTCCTTGGCCATTTTTCCTGAGTGCTTTTGGTGTCCTTTTGGCCCATTGACTCTAGAGATCCCATGTCTCTTTAAGTTCTAGAATATTTCTGGTGGTGTACAACAGGAGAAAAGGCTTGCTTATCACAAGGGTCTCTTGCATTTGTTGGTGGTTCTGCTTATGGTAAATATTTACTTGATATTATCAGTGAAGTCTTGTACAACAGTCATGAAAGTGGGGTGCATTTGTTAGGACAAGAACTCATTTATTGACAGCTAGAATCCCAAATTGTGACTACTTATTGCCTGGACTCATATGGGTTCAGGTTTTCCTAATATAACCTCCCATAAATAAAAAAAAATTAACTTGGGACTCTGTTAATAGAAATTAAAAAGGACTAAGACACTTTGAATGAACTAAACACACGCATTTATTACAGAGTTAACAAAGGCACATCAATAACAACTTACAATGTATTTATATATAATTAACACAAATGGGATTCTCTGTTACATGCCAATTTTTTCAATAAATAATTGTTCAATTCTTCAGGTCATGAAAGATAAAGGCAAAGTCTCAGTCCCAATCTTAATCTTCCCCATCCTCTTCTTGAGAACTACACTGATCCCTGAGGGGCAGATCATCATCATCTGTAGCCATATTACATCTCTAGAAAAACATCCTAATTATAGACACTCCTCAGATTCCTTTAAGTCCAGTTTTCAATGAACAGGCTCTCTGCTTTAGCAGATGCTGTCTCTGCTATTCATCCACTGTTACTCCATGATATTTCACCTCTGTCTCTCTTTGCATTTGCACACAGACAGTGCACTGTATCACTTACAGGGAGACATCTCCATATCTCTCATCAGGAAAACCTGTCATTTTGTATGTGTCTGCTGTACTTTGTACTGGAAACTCTGCCTGCCTCTGCACTGTGCTGTTCCCATGCACAACACAAAAGTGCTAGAATTTTTTTTTTTTTTTTTGTTACCAGGGATTGAATTCAGGGGCACTACCACTGAATCATATACCCAGCCCTTTTTAAATATTTTGTTTACAGACAGGGTCTCACTGAGTTGCTTAGGGCATTTCTAATACCCTAAGGCTGGCTTTGAACTTGTGATCCTCCTGCCTCAGCCTCCAGAGTTGCTGGGATTACAGATGTGCACCACCTCTCCCAGTATAGAACTTCCTTTTTATATTGACTTCTGTATCCACTTCAGAATTCTGAGCTTTTGCTTTGGGCATGTCTCTACAGATGAGAATTAGACTTTCTGTACTTCTCACAAACCTTATCCTATGTCCTAGTAGCTGCCCCTTCTATCTAAAGTACTTTGTTTGCAGCCGTTTGCTTTTGTTCCCCAGATATTCACTGCCCTACTAAGGAAGAAGTATAAGTTACTAAGGAAAATCTGTGAGGGCTCAATTAAATGGGGATTTCTAGTACAGGAAAGAGCCAAGTTAAAAAACATCAGAGTATGTGTGTTCACCTGTTAACACACATGCCTATATATTAACATGTATAGGCATTAAATCACTCCAGAAACAAAATCATGTATTAGGCCTGTCTCTATGTCATGCTCTGTACAGATGCTGGTCGTGTGCATAGATTCTACCTGTGGAACTTTGAGATGTTCACAGTCTAGGCAATATTTTGGGGGTTCATTATTATATCAGAATTTTCCTGATAATTAAGATATTACAAGGGTCTTCACTTTTTGGCCTTTCTGAAGTGGTAAATGACTGCTCTATTGGTCAATAGGAATTTGATGCTGCTCCTAAATTCTGAGATTCAACGCCTAGAGGTTTGCTTCAGTAAAACATCTCATTTATCCATGCATGTGGCCATCTGATATTCAATACTGTGCCACTGGAGAGTCTTGCCTTTTTAATACAGACACTCAGGAGGGGCAGCACATGAAGCACTGCCATTCTATTACACCAGAGTATGATTTTTTTCCTTAGATCTCAGCTATGAGCTGCTTTCCATAGCCCGAGATGCCCAACAGGAAAGTTCTGAAGGGAAAAATTCCAGGTCTACTAAGAAGGCAGGCCTGAGAAGTTGCTACCACAGGGCTTTTAGAGAGCTAGAGACCACCATCAGGAATGAGGAAGGGAGGGCCTTTGAAGGGTGTTGTGAAAGAACAATGAAACATACCCAAGACAAACTTGGTTTACTTCAGGTTTTATCTGTGGGTCAACTTTCCCCTAACCAATAGAAACTCAGTTCCCATTTTGACAATGGTTGGGAATGCCTGCCCTGAATTCATACCCATCTAGCAGCTTCAAAGAGAAAGACATAAACTGAATTCTGAGGAGGCCAAAGACCTCTTGTAAATGTCTGTATACTGAACTGGTTTTAGTGCTGGGATTATCAGACTAACAGAAACACATGTGACACACCAAAGGAGGACTTAAAGTTGGCTTATCAAGAAAGGCCAAAGTGGAACCATATTAGAAATAGTAAAGTAGGGAACAAAGAGCAAGAGGGATCTATATGGTACAGCTGATGCTGGATAAGGACAGAGCCTCCTCTCTGGCCCTTGTCGCTGTAATAGATGGGTCAATAATACTTTATCACAACCTCTCATCCAAACTCCCTTGACTTCAATTTTCTACTAGCCAGACTCCAGGAGAGGGTTCAATGCAGAGGAGTTCCTGATTAGTGTTTTTTGAAGCATTTAGAAATTGAACAGACTAAAGTATTATCGAGTTACATTTGTTTTGTTAAAGAATAAAAATGGTTATCTTTCTGTGCCATTTATTGGAGATAACCAATTTTAAGTGACAGAAAACCCCTTAATGGAACAATTCATGCATCTCATTGTCATGAAACCATTGATGCCCACCTTGAGAAGGACGAAGTGAACAACATTGGTTTCATTTGTTACACAGAAGATGCAGAATGGAAATGAATAACTGGCACATACAAACTTCTAATAATGTATCTTAAAACATTCCTCAGGATTTCTGAGGCACAATGGAAATCAGTGAGCATGATCTCAAAATTCTTACTTTTCTTTTATTAAAATATATGTTTTTCTTGTGTTAATAATTTCATTCTTATAGGAATCATAATCTAACACAATGGCTGTATTATCTACATAATTCAAAATACTGGTAGGTATTTGGAAACAAATTTACTATATGTATGAAATATAATGTTGAGCCAAATCACAAATTTAAATTTTATATTAGAATTACTAAATATTGGGATTGATATATTAGAACATGAATAGCTTTGAAGTGAACTCAATGTGTGAATATGGATTCATAAAAAAAGACATAACCAAAGAATTTACATACTTTATTAAAAGAACAAAAAATGACATAAAAGTAGCATACTAAAATGAGTTGCATAATGTATACTTCTAAACACAAACAAGCACTACAGCACTATAACTTGCAAAAAAAAAAAAAAAAGTCAAAGCATCTGCCGTTGAGGGAATGAGCTATTGCATTTTAGAGACAAAACATCATGGGAATGGTTTTTATTAATAAAATATTCTGATCATTATTAGAAACTATAATTGTTGCACAGGGTTAATAGTTTTCTTAATATACGTATTTTCAAGTTACCATTTTTCTGCTCCCAATATATGTTTTCATTGTCTATATTCCAGAGAGTTTTATAAATGCATAAAATCAGCCTTTTAAAAAAGAGTATATTTAGGATCTTTTTTAAAAAAAAAATCTAATTTATAGCTGGGCATGGTGGCACACATGTCCCATCTACTCAAGAGGCCAAGATGGGAGGATTTCTTGAACCCAGGAATCTGAGGTCAACCTGGGGCAATGTAGCCAGACTCTATCTCAAAAATAAAAAACAAAAAAATCCTTAATTTTAAATGAATGTAATTGGGAGCATGGAAACAAATTATTCACTTTCTAGTAACTAAAGTGGCAATGATAACAATAAAAGGAAATTTATTTTGGGAAGGTCATCCTCAGAATAAATGATGTTCACATCACTCCCTCAACTGCTAGACACAAAAGACAACAATAAAATAATTTGCTTTCCATTACTAACAAATAGCATCTGTATATAGACTTAAGCTTTGGAATCATGCAGTTCTAAGATAGATAAATCTTCAGGTTATGCGTTTAGGAGAGAAAAAATGCCTACTTAATAGTCAGGTTACTTTTCGGTGTTGTTACAGAGGTATTTTTTTTTTTTTAAGTAACATGATATAGAAGATGACTAGTGAGGAATGTTTACAGTATCTGCAGAGTGGTAACTTATTTCACAGTAATACATTTTTTTTTCCTTTTAAGTAAACCATAATTGAGGATGGGTTCTATATAAAAATAAATTTTCTCTGGAATAATTGAGTTTTTGAGTATTAATGAGTAATTTCCTTATAGGCATGGACAAGTAAAGGGACTGGATACTGAATTAGTCAAACTGAATCCTAGCTGAGGTTATTTTTGGGTCTCTCATGCATTTGTTATACTTCGTTTCCTAATTTGTTTTACTTAAAGACAGCCACTGTGTTTAAGCTCCAAAGAATGCAACCCAGATGCTGTCAGCAGGCACACCATGTTGTAAATTTATTGAATATCTCCTGCTATGCTTCTAGGACTATTCTTGCTATTTTATGGATGATTTTTCCTGACTTAAAATCTCAGAGTTCAGGCTGGGATGTGGCTCAGTGGTAAGAGCACTTGCCTAACATGCATGAGGCCGTGGATTCAATCCTCAGCATGGCAATAAAATAAACTAAACCACAAAAAAACTCATTTCTCTCTTGACCTTATGAAAATATATTCTTGTGGCTTATATATTCACAAGGATATGTCAAAACAAGGATACAGGTTAAATTGGGAAATTATGTTGGTGAATTCTTAACTATAGAATGAATGAATGCTAACATTTTACATCAATGGAAATGGTGGTTAGATTGTCAGGCTGTTAGTTGTATGGTTATATGACGGACTCTTAAGTGCTTATGAAATGAGGAAGTAAAAAGAAAAAAAAAAGAAATTTCTAACCAGCTGGCCCTGAGCTATTTGACAACTATAAGGCTTGGATTGCTTTCTGACTTTGGCTTATTTTTCTCTCTCTCTGTTTTGTTTGTTTGTTTGTTTGTGTGTGTGTGCTGGGGATTGAACCCAGGGCCTTGCGCATATTAGGCAAGTACTCTACCACTGAGCCACATCCCTAGCTCTATTTTCTATCCTGTAAGAACTAGAAAAATGGGCTGCTATGCCCCAGTTGCAGCTCTCTTAAACCCAGGATGGGCTTCTTGAGAACAAGAGCTACATGTCCCAATTTGTGAAGGACTTAAAAGACCTAGAGTGATCTTTCCCTTAACCTATCTAACCTCAACATTTCCTGTCTCATTTCCTGGGCAGGATAAGAAAGTTCCATGTCTATTTGCAATTGGTGTGGAGATAAAACTGGCAGAAATGATCAGATTGAAACATTCTCTTTCAGCTCCTATGCTATGGAAGATTTTGGCTAGTTCTCTTCTTAGTTAAAACAAAATATTGGGAGGCTGCAGTGGCACATCAATTACTCTGTAATCTAGTAAAATCAGGTCAGAAAATAGCTTCCACTGAGCAGGTATAATGTAAATAAAGTTATTTCCAAAGTTGTGTCAGAAGCTTGTTTTCCTTTGTTGAAGGTGATCAACTGCCCTATACTGGTCACACTTAACTGTTAAGTAAGCTCTTTTGACTGCCTATTTGTTTGGGGGCCTGAATCTTAAAGGAGGAATAGAGGTCAACAGTAACAATTTGACTATTCCTGGAATACACATTAGTTGGCATACATATTAACTGATGCATATAGCAATAATTATCTGGGAAAGATGAAATCTGATTTTAACATAATGAGAATAACTATTTTGTAACTTTAAAGTATATTTAACTGCTTGCAATCATTAAAAAAGTAAATTCCTTCTAGACACCCACTTGGTGTGTGTGTGTGTGCATGTGCGTGTGCGTGTGTGTGTGTGTGTGTGTGTTTCCAGTGGGGGTTAATTCACAAAGCAAACAATCATTGCTAGTTGTCTTGCTGAAAGAAATACTTTTGCTCTTGTTTAGTGCTGTTAGCTAAAGTTGACCTTTTCTCTGTTACCAGCCTTTTCTTATAGTGAGCTGTAGCAAACTAGAAAAGCATCCACAACAGCAAAGCAAAAAATCCTCCTTCTCAAGGCCTTAGAAATAACTCTTTCTTACTAATGTTTCCACTATCATCACAGACTTCTTACGTTAAAAAAAAAAGCTCCAAGGATTGCTTTCATGAACTATGTACATAAGTGCAAAAAAGGTGTGTCTCACACATCCGCACCCTAACTGAGACAATCAGGTAACGGCAGCATATGTCTCTTAAACACTGTCAAGGGGTCATTCCACAGTATCTTTATGTATGGTTTTGCAAATATGAATTGATTTCAAAATATATTTTAGTCATCCTCTAATCCTCATGTAATTGTATACGTAAAACAGAAATTTTGCAGCTACAGATGTTACATGACTAGGATAATTTTAGTTATAAAAAAGAGTCAGGTAATATTTTATATATTCAACAATTATGTTTTGATGTCAAAATACTGAGGAATAACCCAATCCACACAACAAATTGTATAAACTATAAAGCTTGACTCTAAAATCCATGTGTTGTAAACTTTTTGACCCAAAAGTCACACAAGGTCACAAATTCAGCTTTCACATGAGACTTAGGGATTTAAAAAAAAATTCAACCATATCTGTTTTCTGAGTTTTGAGCTGTAGCTTCGACATGCTCATACTGTCACAAACCATGTATAGTTTACAAATAAAAATTTCACACACACACATACAACGTCTAAAGGTAGCCATGTTGTAGTTTTGTTGCCAACGCAACGACTAAATATAATTAGTTAATAATTATTCTTTTTGTATAAAGGTAAATTTGTTCTTAAACTGTGAACTGTAGAGAGTTGTTATGGACTGTAATCTACATTTGCCATGCTTCAATGTCAGTTTAGAACTTATCCAGATGGAATGAATATATGTAGTAAAAACTTACACTTTCCCTAACTCTCCTTCAAAATTAAATCCATCAGTTACTTAGAGATACAAAAAGTAATAAAATAAGAATCTTAAAAGCTAACAATAAAAAAATGAAAGCACGGCACCAATTAGTGATGGTGCTCAGAAACCTATATTTGTAGTTATGTATTTACAGGTTGATTAGACTAGCAACTACATTTTCTAAAAAAAGTTATATTTTTTAAATTCTACTTATTCTATTGCCTTCAACAGGTACTTGTTAAACTAGGCCACTATGTTACTAAATCTATTAATCAAATTGGGAAATCAAATTTCCTGCCTAAATTTTACTTGTATTTATTTCAATGTATGAGAGATGAAAAGAATTAAGACTCCAGTTTCTAATCATTCTGAGTGCCACAGCCTACTCTACAGACTAAAAGAACTCAAGAAACTTGTGGTTGCACTTTACCTGAGAGCATCCTCATCGACACTCTCCAAAGAGGGGGAAAAAGAACCAAATAACTTTACAAGTAGCACATGAACCTTCTCTCTTATTTCATTAAATGCAATTGTAAATCTGGTTCCTTATTCAGACATCATCATTATGCTCACTGGTCATGGCATTAAAAAGTGATTCAGGCTGTAAAGGCTAATTTCAGTTGGTTCCTGCTGATGGCAGGGAGAAGGTACTGGCATTTTCCCAAGTTGGAGAGCAGGTGAGCTAAGGGCTCCCATTAGTGAACACAGCCAGTGCTGTAGGACAACACTCATGGCAAGATCAAAGTGCTTTAGCATGTTCAGAAATGGATGGAGTTGGGAGAAGATGGCTTTCATGATTAACTACAAAGTAAAGACTAATCTAGAAATGTGAAATGAAATGCAACAGCTGGGAATGGAATCATGCTCTCATTGCAAAAGTAAATACTGTATTTAAATAGCAATTTTATGAATCCATTATTTTATTTCATCTTAATCCCTCTTTAAAATATACTTATGCTATGGTCACATAGTGCTTTTGGTAAAAATTGAAACTACTAAAACCCTCTTAAAAGGTATTTTTAGATTACTTTTTTCTGTATGGATGACCCATTTCATCCAAGTTTCAGCACTCTTGCATAGTTCTGCAAAAGGCTGAGAAAAATGGACAAAACCCGTAATTTTGGATAAATAAAAATAGAGGCCCTTGTAAACTACAAAGATTATAAACTTTTAACTAAGAATCACAAGTGATTAGAATTTCATATATACAATTCATTCAGTAAATTTTTGCTTACAGTCACTGATTTTGTGACTTGTCTTTATAACTTGAAATTTATAGTCTAATGACTTATTGGTCTTGTTTTCTCTTGAAAAAAAAGATAATCTTAATAAGTCATTGCACAACTAGCTTAAAGAGTACTATCTTAAAATTTCATTTCTCTCAAAACTCTGTTGAATTTGATCAAAACTTTAGGGCTTTGAGTTTTCTTTCTTTAAATTCATTTACATAACAACTTTAAAAATGCCAACAGTATAGAAAATTGTGGCTCCAAAATACAACTATCATGGATATCCCCCATGAATCTCTTACTACAAATAAGCCATTTTTAATGTCTTCTAGTGCTTAAAGCAATAGGAAAACAGCTGAACTCTAGGTTTGTTGTCTCTGTACATCACACCACAAGTTTAAAAAGTTCAATGAGATAGTATGTTGCATCAAAATGTCAAACTCCATAAAAGTTCATTCTGCACAAAAATTTCATCTCCACTGATCAGCTCAGGTGCTTCCTTCCTGGATTTATGTGATCAGATCTGCCATTCTGGAGAGGCACTGGCACAGATTATACAAAATTCAGTTGTATACAAAAGACATTTCAAAAAGGCATACTCTACTTTCTTTTCTAGCAGTGTTAAGATTTTAGGAAACAAATTAAGTGGTTCAAAGAGTCCACTGGGAAAAGTTAGGACAACTCTTGATCTCTTACTCCAGGTAACACTGTTAACAGATAACAGTGGCTCAATACAAGCAAGACTGACTAGAAATCACTGTTGACCAGGATTTGGATTGATAGTTAAGATCAACGGGATACAAACTACCTGGGATAATTTTGTTCTTTTGTATTGTGAGCCAAACTGCTTTGCTCAGGCTTTGCCTATGGAGTCTGAAATGTTCTGAAGCAAAATGTGAGGAGAAGGAACAACTGGTAGTTCTGAGTCCTACAGTTGGTTGGGTACCCCTGAGCAAGTTACCTGCTCTGGGTCTTAGTTTGATCAACTGTGAAAAATCTTTGCCAACTCTATTGTTCTACAATTCAAACCTACCAGCTGGCTTTTGATATCCTAAATCAGATTTTTTCTTTGATTGTCATTTTCATGAAGGAGAAAAACAACATATATATTTTATGTTTTTATACTTTCCCATGGGAGAATATATATTTAGTAGAAAATATTAAATCTAATTTGTGTAAAATATCACGTTTCTACCACTGTGTAAGAGTAATGTTAATAATTCAGTAGAATGGAGGAGGTATGCTATGTATATACCACAGGAATGGATTAATTTCTATTTTTACTGTGTGCAACTATTTTATAAGTATTAGTAATGAAAATTCAGCTCATCTCTGTGGAATATAGCCTCTCTATATTAATCAAAGTGTGCTAATATCTCTCTATGAACATATAAAAAGGTTAATGAGTCCAAACAATAAAAAAGCTTTATGATGCAAAGGATTCTGATGTTAAAATCTGGCCAGGGAAACACTTGTCACGTGTCATGGGTGCTGGCTCCTTCACTAAAATGTTAAACAGCATTGGAAATTCAGTTAAACTTAAGCTAAAGACAATTGTGGACACCTTTTCAAGTTCTTTTGCATAAACCAAAGAGTAATTTTAAATGTCTCCCTGCCCCCATCCCTACAATTTCTCTGAACCTGTACTCAGGCTCCCTCTGTGATCAATAGAGAAGATTGTCCATTTGGGGAGGAAAGGCCTCATTTGGAACCAATTCTCTTTCACCCTGACTGACTTTTGCTAGATTGCATCTTACTTATTATTCAAAGAGTAGTCTAAAGAGCATGAGCCATTTGCATTTGGAAATGGCACTTGTGTAAAAGGTTACATTGCAATGGTTTTACACACTTTCTGCCAGTATGTAAAAACTATCTCCACGCCCCCATCTTTCTGTTTGATTTATAACCTGCAATTAGCATACCTTTAAGCTCCCAAGTACCAGTTTCTCAGCTGAAGATGACAAATGGCTCAATTTTAGACACTCAACCTAGGAGACAGGATTTCTTGAGATACAAAAAAAATGTAATGGGTACTTTATATCATTTTTAGTATAAATGCTGAGAACTTCATTAAAAGGAAAAATTCTCCATTTTTAAGCCATTTAAGAGGAGTGTATTAGGAGTTCATGTTTGAAGAAGTTCCTTACTTTGGGTGGTAATTATTTCTCTCTCACAAAAAAATCTAGCAAGCTTACTGAATTATGCAGGGTCAGATCTACAGGTACAAATTATATACATGCATGTTTATGACCAGGTTTTGTGCACACTCAAAAGTGAGGCCTTTTACATATCTGCCTCTAGAAACCTACAGAAAGATTCTAAAGAGAGCATATTAACATAATCCTGTCATGTTTTCAAGCACATATACTTCTGTTCCCCACTAGTAACATTTTAATTTTTACCAAACACCACACACATACAGCAAAACACTGTAGTATATAAGACTAAATTCAACCCAAACCAGTACAACACAACGATGGGGAAGATGGTACTGGACATATTTGTTACATTCTAAATCAACCCAATAGACTATCCTGTAAACACAATAGTAAGGTAACACTTCAAAAACAGATAAACATTTATCCACCAAGAATGTAGAGTAAGCCAACAGTACAGTGTGGAAATTAATTTAGCATACTGGTTATTGGAAAATCACAAATTTTATGGTCATATTCTACCTGATAATTCAAACAAGATGGGCAGTAGTTATTAGCTTTCTATATGGGTCTTGTTTTACCATCTTCGCTGATTTTTAATGCTTCGTTTTTTATTCAAATTTGTTGGCTGGTACATTTTCTCTGCTTAATATATTGACTGCACCATGCTTATTGTTGTGTTGGTAGAAGAGGACATTTGAGAATACATATAGAAAGGCCATATGGAGGTTCTCATGGAGAGATTCCGGTACTCCGTGACTCTGCTGTTCAGAATTTCGACTGAAATGGTAAAAACAAGAGAAAGAGTGAGACATATTGAAGGGTTACTGTACTAGGAGTTAGGATACTAGTTCTTGCTTCAGTTCTGAATTTCAGTTTGTTTATGCATCTGTGAAAATAGGGCTGTTGTGAATGATCAGTAAATAGCGACAGCTATGACAGTCTATGGGAAACTTCCAGTGAGAGTTATTGTGGAGAACTGCCCTCAATTAAAAGAGATACGTTGTTTCAGGCATTATCTATACAATACCAAAACTTTTGCAGATCATCCACCCATTGGTTGATCTCCTTCAACAGGTACATACTGGAAAAACATGTTCAATACCAAACACTTTGAAATATGCCAATAGTAAGTAAACTTCACACTTTATCAGAGTGTTTTAAAGCCATGCAGAAATAGCCTAAGTTAGGCATAAAGCAATGTATAAAACTGTTTTGACCTCTGGAGAAATTTTCAACACTTCTTACATATCAAATGCCTCTACTTTTTCCAATGGAAACAAGTAAAAAGAATCATTCTTCCCAAGTGTATTTTGTTAGAAAGTTAATTATAATTATGACTTTTGTTTACCTTGACATGCATAGCCATTGAAAAGGGAGCAAGGTGTTGGCAAAAATCTACATTCTCATGTATGGTGCTTTGCCCAAGTTGCCACTATCCCAAAAACATCCCTGAAAACTATTACCATCTATGCTTCCTTCTGTTATCCCATGGATTCAGAAGTGTCTTTTTTAAAAAACAGTCCTTATGATGAAAAGGACTTGTTTATCTGCTGTACATCTGGCAATCAGCTCTGTTCAAAACAGAGTTGGTGGCCTGTGTATCCTCAGCAGCACAGAAGGATTAGCTGGGAACATAACTGCTGCCTCCTTCAAATGACAATGCGGCTGTGAGAACTTCAAATTTTCAATGACTAACGTATGTAATTCAGAGTTGGTACACTTAGATTTAATAAGTCTCTAGAATTAATACACCTAGCTCTCTTAAGTGGCTTCAAAAGACACAGGTTCAGGTGCATGATTGCTCAAAGTATGTGCTACCATGGGCTCCATACTAGGCAAAGAGGAGATCAAGGGCATAGGGGAAAAATCCAAGAGCAAAAGAATTTTAAAATAACATGATTTCAATGAAAGTAATGATTAAATCACTTGATTATGCTACTCAAAACTCGAAACAGCTGGAGCAATTCTGGGTGACTTATGTGGGAAGCAACATAAGGCAGCTGACTGTAAATGCACTATTTTCTACAATGTCATCTGAGAAGCATGACACTGTCTTTAAGATAATCATCTCAGTTAACTCCTAACAAATATTACTTTGGGGGGAGTGCTGGGAATTGAACCCAGGGCTTCACATATTAGGCACGCACTCTACCACTGGGCTACATCCCTGGCTCTACTTTGTTTACTTCAATAAAAAAAAATAAAGCTATAAAAATGTTTAGGAATTAGAGTTCAAAAGCAACTTGTATCTTTGGCTAACAAATCACACTTCTTTAAAAACAGGCAACCATTGCAGAATTTGTAAGTTGTATTTCCCAGTTATCAGCTGTCATTTCCATATTAAAATTGCATTTTGCTTTCTCATTTCAATTTGGAAAATTTAGAATGTATACATCAAGATCTAAGTCATAAGTGATATTTCAATGAAAATATTTAGCAAAGCTGTAGCAAATACATTGTGTAAATAAAAAAATAAAACCTAAAAATATTATTTATATTAATACTTAAAGAAACTTACTGTTCTACTGGTAACTTCTACATCTGTGAAACAAACATGCTGCTATTCAGTTCATCTATTGATAACTGGGGTATCTACAGTAGTAAAAAAGATTTTAGATTAAAATGATTTCTTGAGAGAATTCTGTTTCTTTTGTTCACTGCTTGGACATGGTAATCAATGATGATAATCAATTTCACAGAAAACCTTAGATATAACTTTTAAACTTTAGACATATTAACCATTTCCACTAATAGCAAAGCACAGATTAGAATGTGGTTTGCTCCATAATTAATTAATGCTCTGTGTGTTTCATGGTGATCATGCTTGTAATTTAAGTAGCAGAGGAATTTTTAGTCTGTGGGCATGGTTAACACTTGGCTATGGCAGAACAGCATTATTCAATAATTATCATATTTTTATTTTTTCTATTTTTAGTTATTTTTAGCTATAAATGGCAGTAGAGTCAATCTTGACATATTTATACAAACATGGAGTATGTCTTATTTTAATTAGGAGCCCAGTCTTGTGGATGTACATGATATGGAGATTCATTGTGCAGTATTCATACATATGTAACCATCTTAAATTTCAAGACTCCCCAAATACTACTAATTTGCCAGTGACTCTGTCAGAAAAATACCTAAAGAAAATGAAAATCAAAACAACAAAAGCACATCTAATGTTTGTATGAGACGGAATGTCTGATGTAATCATTGGGTAATGATAAGGATATCTGTGCCTTGGAAAGAAATGTGATGCCTTGCTTTCTTTCCAATGTATCTGAAAGTAAAAGTGATGATTGTACTAAGTCCAAGTTCAAGCACAATAATAAAAAAAATGATAGGAAAATAAAATCAATTCTCATTTGACCAATGAGAAAGCATTTATGAAATAGTACAGTATACACATTTCAGGATTGGTATGGTAGCAAAAAATTAGTTACAGAATATCAAGAATGACATCTGTTCACTGATTAAAAATGAATAGAATCCCACCAATCACCCTTGGGATGAACGGCAAAGTATATACAGCATCTTAGAATGTATAGAAAAGTAAAATTTGTAAATGTGACAATTGCTTAAGAAACATGCAAATACATGGATCAGTGTCTCTCGCCAATACAAAAAGCATACACTGTGCCTTCCCAACATATTGTAGTTTTCTAGGTCTGAACAGGTGAAATAAATGGCCAAACCTGATTGCCTGTAGTTGTTGCAGCGTAGGGAACGCTGGTTGCAGGTGTTGTTGCGGCAGACACAGCGGTAGGTGTAGCACCGTGCATCATGGGCACTTTCAGTAGGAAACCATGGAAGCGACACACAGGAGGGCGGAGCATTTATGCAATGATGACATTCATGGAATGGGGTGTGGTAGATATCACAGCAACAAGCCAAGTGACATCATCATGATGGAAACACCAGGGTGCAACATGCAATCACAGTCAGTGCAAAGCAACACGGCATGGGAGGAGGGAAATTTAAAAAGAGAAAAGGGGAAATCCAATTATAGTTACCATTAAGGAAAAAGGAACCATTCTCAACATTTAGTAAGTTTTTGAGCAGTATTGTATTGTAGTTGACTCAATAGGTCAAATTTTCAAAAAGGGTTATAATGAATGTATAAGAAAAAATACCTAATACTACCAGGCTATCTATCTGAAGCTAGTTAAGCAGATGAGTAACTGGTTGCACATTTTAAAGGGGATTAGGGAATTGTGGATTTGTGTTTGAATTCACTGACTTTTATGGACATGAATTACTGCCATTGGATTTGCAAGTGCAAAGGGGCAGTTTTATGTATACTTACCTGATCTGCCTGCAAATAAAAAATGTAGTTTAATTGGTGGATATGTAGTAGGGGAGCAGATATGAAGACCTCAATGGACTATTTGTGCAGATTTTTAGGTACACCTCTGACAAGTTCCTTGGAAACTTTGGCTATTTATCAAACATATACATGGAGCCCTTCATAGTAAATTTTGTCTTCACAACCAGTATTAGTGCTACAATGGGTAGAAAATGTAAAATCTTTTTCAGGATGTTTTTTCTTTGCCTTCTCTAGTTTTTTTTTCTGAAAGTTTTCTGTGTTTTTCTGATTTCCATTTTACTTTGGAAAGTCAAGCAGGAAATTGATGTGTGATTGGCAGGTATACGATAACTTATTGTGTCTTTATTAATTGAATTCAGACTTTCTGAAAGGCTACTGAGAAAGTGAATGGCCACATGTAATGTTATGGAAACCAAAAAGTTATCCCAAATGACTATTAACAGAAACTCCATACTTATCCCTTCCACTCAACTCTAGCTACCTATCACCTACAGTTATCCCTTTATTGTCTCACATGCTGATTTGAAAAACAATCTTATTTCCTCTTTGGGAGCACAGCAACTACACAGGAAGCAGCAGCACTAAAGCATGCAATTTGCATTCCTAAGCAGAGCTCTGAAAGTAAAAGGACAAGGAAACATCCCCAAGAAACAGGTCACCAAATGTCAACACAGAGACACATATCTCAAACTTGCAGAAGTCTGTTCTTCTAATTGTATGCATAGAATGTTCCAGTTAGTATCAATGGACATGTTGTTAATTCCTATAGGGCAAGCTAATCTCTCAATAACAGAGGCCTCACTCCTGTTGTCAGGGGTCAGAACTTACTATGTAGTGAGTGCTGTTTCTATGTGGCCATCATCTTGACCTTTTTATTTTATCTGCATAAGCCTGTTAGTGCCTTTGGAGACTGTAACTACTCTACTCCACTAATGGGATGGATGTCAAGTTGTTGCAAACTCTCAAAAAGGATGGGAGGAATGAGATTGTGGGTTTGTAAAGGGTGGGACTTTCCTCCCTGCATTGAAATAAAGCTATTTTCTCCTGATCTGTTCCTGCTTCTTATGAGGAGTTTAGGACCTGTAAACTCCCCAGTTGCTTTCTCATCCTTTTCAGTATTAGTGATGGGCAAAATGGCTTGGAGATGGCTACCAGGTTGTGTTGGTGGCTAGTGGCTAACTAAAGGATCTGTACGTAACTGATTGCTAAAAATCTCATAACTGCCAAAGAGTCATTTTAAAATGATTCTGCTGTGTCTAGTTTCTGTGCAGATTGCACTTCATCCTAGAACACTACAGATTTCAGCACAGAACACTGAAGAATGTTTTGCTTAGGTCATTCTTTCTTAACATCCGAGTACTGAATGGCTTAGGTCATCTGGATAACCTTTTAGGGGAGGAACTGTTTCATTGTACTTTAGACATTTGAAATATTTTACACTTTTAAAATTATATATACAATTGCCCAGTTTCTCTCTCTCTCTCTCTCTCTCTCTCATAGTGCTGGGGATTGAACACTGGGCCTTCTGAATGTGAGGCAAGCAATCTACCAACTGAGCTATATCCCCAGCCCTCTCTCTCTCTCTCTTTTTTTAAGTGTACCATTCTATTGTATTTAAATTGCCCAGTTTCTCTAGGAAAAGAAACATGTCAGTTGTTATTATTTGGGGGATGGAAATAGAAAAATGGCAGGGTCAGTATTTGGCCACAGTGGCAACCACCTAGGACTTGACAAAATAGGACTATTTTAGTTCCACAAAGCACCATAGTAAATGTTAAATACTCAGAAAATGACCAATCATATCATTCTGTCACCCATCTCTTTCATAATCACAGTAGAATAACATATTTTTTAGATTAGAAAAAGTTGAGAATTTTTGTACAAAACCTACCAAAACTTGAAGCGGGTGCCATGCACAGTATTGGCCCTGTACACCATGCAGAAAAGCGTGGAAAGTAAAGAAAAGAGAGATTTCATTATTAAGGCTTTACAGATGGAAATGAATTTTTAACTAGAAAGATACTTTATTTGAAATATCAATTAATCAGCACATGCAAATCCAGTAATCCTTCATGCTTATAATTACAGATTAGCATTAAGATGACAAACCCAGTTAATCAAAGTAATTCTTGAATTCTTAGGTTAAAAAATGAACTTTAATTTTTCTGTAAAGAAATTATCTCTTTTAAATTATATATTTATTCTGGGCAAATATGTCATAAGTAATTTTTATCATAAAAATTTCATTTGTTACACATAGTCTTTTCAAAACATGCTTCAATATCTGTATCTGGTGCCTATTTTCCTATTTAGAGCATTAAACTATTAACACTGCCTCCTCCAGCTCATTGAAATTGAGGACTTCATTATGAACATAGGACAAGATTATTTCCCTCAAGAAAGGGACCTCAGCCAGAGAGGTTTTTCATTTTGCTATTGATTAAAGGAAAGGGAAATTTTCTCACATTTTTTGCATGTAAATCTAGATTTTATACTGGCCAAAACTGGCATAAAAAAAAAGAAGTCTAACTTCTAAACAAAGCAATAGATTAAGGAAATGTAAAAGGAAATGTAGAGTGAACAATGTATATTTTTCCACATTCAACCACCTTGGCTAATACTCCTGAGCTATGCAACTCATTCTATAATACAAATGGAAGCGGCCAAACTGGAGAGATCTAATGGGTAGGAAATGACTAAAAATCTTTTATTGGGGGATACTAGTGGTTAAAAACAGAGGCACTTGACCATTGAGCTATATCCCCAGCCCCTTTTTAATATTTTATTTAGAGATAGGGTCTTACTGAGTTGCTTAGGGCCTCACCAAGTTGTTGAGGCTGGCTTTGAACTCGTGATCCTCCTGCCTAAACCTCCCAAACCATTGGGACTACAGGCATATACTACCATGCCTGGCAAATGACTAAAAATCTTGAAGGGAAAACCCACCAGAAATAAAGTTACCTCAACCCACAATGATTCTCTTTTTTACTTTGTGGACATAGCATATTTTTTCTTAGGTTTTGGGGAAAAGTCTAAAACAATTAGATATCAGTAGTTACTTTTTATAAAGTGATGTAAAAATGTACTAAAGAATTCAATTTTTCCTCCTGAGAAACTATTTATATAAATGTGTGTAACTTAAATGGTGTCATGAAGAAGTCCATGGTCTGTAATGAAAGATTGGTTTTAAAACAATTAATTAACAGATTGATTTATTAATTAACTGTTTTTTCCAAGTTGTAGTATATATTCTACATGTTCTTCATGTTTTCAGAATTAGCAAGGCTTTCCAAATAGAATTTTAAAGCAGATATTATTTTCTTTTAATAATAGTTTCCAAAGTTGGACATTTTTTTCTGGGGGAAAAAAAGTTTATTTTTATTTTCAGTGGTTAGTATTTTCAATTTATTCCTAAGGCACCATATGCTTACTCTTAAAGTAAAAACCACTGGAAGAAAATTGTTTTCTGCATATATGATATTTATTTGAATGAAATTCTGGCTTTAAATTTTCTCCTCAATTAGGCTCAAAAAACTGTTATACTATTAAATATAGATGAATGTAGGAGGTAATACAAAATATGCTACAAAGTATCAGAAAGTGTAACAAACTGCTATGATTTCATATTAACTTGTTCAGGAGTTAGAAGCTAAAACTTCTTATTTTATATATACTATACTGTGCCATACTATACTTCATGTAAATTTAAGGGTAGTTTTAAAATAACTGCCTTTGGTATATCACAATCTATGGACTACAGAGTTTTGTAATGCTGATGCTGGAATTATTTTCTATTTTATTTTATTTTGTCGGGTAGCAGCGTGCTGTCTGTGAAAGTGATACCTAAGAGTCAAGGAATTAGTTGAGATCAAACCAAGCAAATCAATCACAAGAAGAAAAAAAAAAGTTAAGACTTTCTCCTACTTTGATTCCAAACCATTAATTTTCAGAATCATAGAAAAACAGGTTGTTTGACAAGTATTAACAGATCAAGCATAATTGCCTTGTTTTATTTCTAATCAGTCAAAATGCATGTGGATATTTCTCCCATGAAAGCCCTTTGAAAGTTGCTTTGCATCATATACATTCACAACATCACTAAACTTGAGGTGCCCAGCGCTGTGTTCTCACCTGTTGGGATAAATGCCGGCTGTGGGAGCTGCATGTTAGCCAGAGTCTGTTGGCAGTGGAAAACATTTGGATTAAAGACCGGGGTGGCACCGTTGGGCTTTTCAATGGCCGTTCTCTTTGGTATCAGTTGAAGTGCACCAGGCTGCAGGGCCTGTGGGGGAGGGATGGGTTAATCACAAGTAACAGAGTGAGTAAAAAATATAGTCAAATCAAACAAGCAGTAGTTATGTAATGAATGGCTGGGAATTCTCTGCAAAGGTATCCATTGAGCAAGACATTCAATAAGCAGCAGCTGCACAGCAAGGTAACCAACTGCAGAGATGAAGTAGTTCACTGAATAAGCAGTTAGGCCAAAACACAAGATAAAAATACCAGGGAAAAAATAAAAGCTTTTCTTTTTTTTTTAATTTTTAAATAAAAGCTTTTCAACATCCCTAATTGATACCTCATTTGAACAGGATGCAACAGAAAACTATTACAGCAAATACATTTACAATTAACATCACAGAAATGCTCATCTATTAATCTGTAAAAATGAGATTAGCAGAAGCAACAGGTATGGCAGCAAAGAAAATCCTGCCAGTTAAAATTCCAATATGGATCTAGGAGATGCGAGGCATACAGATGATAAAACAGATGCTGTTAGATTGGAGTCTGACACGGTGGCCCTACAAAACACAATCTAATTAATACAAAGACCTCAGGTTCAAATCCCAGAAGTGTATGTTTCCTAACTCACATGTAAGGAAAAAGAAAGTCAATCATTCCTCCACTGCCACCTAACACACCTGGGTATGATATATAGTTAAGCAAAATATATGCAGGTCTGTTTTATAGAGGATCACTGTGCATTTTATTATGCACCATTTGCTTTGTTAAATCCTGTAAGGATTAATTCTAAAACCTATCAGCCTTTTAAACCCTTCTTTCATGTCTACATTTCTTTCAAAATCCCACTGTGCTTATAGTACTCAGACCTGCTCCAGATCCATTGAAGAAGTTTAACATTATATTTTTCCCCTCAGCAAATTGCACATTACTTTAAAAACATGCCCCAGCAACAACCATTAGGTATGCTCCAAATTCTTAATGAGATACTGACACCTGTGCAGAGTCACTAGCCTTGCAAAAAGGCTTATGCCATGACCTTATTATTCCTGTGGCTATCAAGGGCCTAAAGCTATTTCTTTTTTCTTTTGGGGACTCTGCTATCAGTGCACACAGTGTGACAGGTCTGCTTTTTCTTAGTTTATTTCCATCTCCTAAAAAAGTGAGACGAAAATAAACCAAGTAGCTTTAGATTTCCAAACTGATCTGAGAGAAAGACGTGGCAAAATCATGACTAAAATAATAAACTTTAAAGCATAATTGATCATTTTGAAAGCCTTTTATCACCTTTGAGGGAAAATGAATTACCTGAAGACTTCAATAGAGTAGGACAGGTTATTTAAAAGATTTCCCCTTGGTTTAGTATGGGGGGGGGGTGTCCCTTTCTCTAGAAAGTTAGGAGCATGTATGATCATCAGAATCAAACTTGTGTTGCCCAGTAAACTACAGATTGAGGAAAGGCCTAGATGGACATTTGATTCATGGTTCCTGGCAAGGAAGTACTGTTGATTTACTGCTGGGGTCTATCTTGACAGGTTAGCACCCAGTTCTGATTGGCTGGTGCTTATACTGCCATTAAGTATTTCTCAATAATCAACACTGGCCAGGGCCTCAATGCCCTCATCACAATCTTGCCAACTTACCAAAGTTGTAGTTAAGTGTGGATGAAATAATTATCAACCCTCCAAGTCTTTTTTATACCTTTATTTTATTTATGTATTTTTATGTGGTGCTGAGGATTGAACCCAGTACCTCACACATGCTAGGCAAGTGCTCTACCACTGAGCCACAGCCCCAGTCCATCCAAGTTTTTTTTTTAATGTATGCAAATTGCTCTCAACAAAGTCAACCTGAGCTATACGTCTGCAAAAGGTAAAAACTCCCCTTTTATAAAGCATTTCTACTCTGAATCCTTAAAATTATAAAAAGATTAAACATCTTCATAAAGCTCTCCTTTTATTTGGTCTTACCTTAAAGAAATTCTTATGGGCTAAATTGATTTTACAACTAAGATCCTGCTGTGATCTGTTACTCAGGAAGGAATTTTATATTGACATTCACAAGTATCAGTTGAGGGCATACTACATAATACTTAGCTCTCCAGATGGAAATTTGATGCTCATATGTAACATGCATTCTATCAAACATGCTCAAATCATCAGAAATGGGCAGAAACATGAAGGTCTCATGTCCAAGCATGGGGAGAGATGCATAAATGTGCAAGCAAACCATTTTTTTTGTTCATCCTGTTTGTGTGTTCATTTTTTAGGGGAACAAGTGCATTCTTGCTCCTTTAATAGCCCCACATCTTTCCTAACTCTATGTAACTCTAACATAAGTAATAAAAAAAAAAAACTGAAGGACTGCTGGGCGTGGTAGCACACACTTGTAATCTCCGTGGCTCGGGATGCTGAGACAGGAGGTTCACGAGTTCAGATCCAGCCTCACCAAATTAGAGGCTAAAGCAATTCAGTGAGACTCTGTATCTAAATAAAATATAACAAAGGGCTGGGGATATTGCTCAGTGATAAAGCATATGAGGGTTCAATCCCTGGTATGAAAAAACAAAACAAAAACAAAAACAAAAAATACCTGAAGGATTTATGGTCCCAGCTACTTTGGAGGTTAAGGCAGGAGAATCACTTGAGCCCAGGAGTTAGGGGCCAGCCTGGGCATCATGCCAGATCCTATCTCTTAAAAAAAATGAAGGCTTATCTTCTGCATTCCTTGCTATTTTCTTAGCTTAAAAGTTCCTCATTCAGAAGCATTTAAGACAAAAATATTTGATGAAGATTTTTTAAACATTCCTTAACAGATGATGTTACCCAGATCAAAAAAAAAATGAAAAGAAAAAAGCAAGTATGTTCTACTTTGGTGCTCAGATCCTTCATGAAGTAATGTGTTCAGTTCTGAAAACAGATGAGTATTGAGATCTTGGGCTGTTATACCCTATTACATGAGGAAAGTTCCAGTTGTCCAAAGAAATAAACAGCAAGTGGAACATTTAATAGACAGCTGAGACATACTTGAGGAACCTTTCAGTGTTATTATGTAGAACTATATTTTCCCCAAAACTGACTTACTAGGGCAATACAAAAGCCAGGCCTCTCTTAGTCCTGAGGAAATCTCCCCATAGCCTTAGTAGGCTTCTGTCTTTTGTCTTCTCCTTTGCCTACACCAGGCCTCCAGAAAGGAAAGGTAACCTTAACCTTTAGGAAATTAGAACCTACTTAATATCCCATCTTTCAAGTACTCTGTTCTGAAAGGCATTAAGGACGTGAGTGGCAAAGTGCCCTCAAAAGTGGTTCACAGAGCAGAGGCAACTTTCCGCCTTTCTGGGATATTAAGGGTAGTTAGACTATAAAAAGCACTCAAAAACAATTTACTGCTTAAATCATAGAGTTCGCCCTTTCTCTGAAAATGGGAGAAAGAGCCACAGTAGGTTAAAATCATTACTAAAGCTTTTAAATAATTACCTTTAGAAAATCTTAGTAAATAAAGTAGAATAAATAGGTTCTTTTTTATCTAGCTTATAACCTTGACTGTTCATATTAAGATACACTCATGACTATCCAACATTATGGTTATAGAATATTTGACAAATTGATTTGATAAATCATTTACCCCAAAATGGAGAGGCTGCAACTGCTGGTCTGCTCTTACCATCGCCGTGGCAGCCGAGTGGTTCATCTGGTGATGAGCTGCCTTGAGTTTGGCTTGCAAGTGTGCGGGAGGATGAAAGTACTTGCATTTCTCCCGGGAGCATCGACCTTTGATGTAATCCATGCAGATTGTCACAGTATTATCGCTCACTTCAATCATGGAAACATCTGTAGGGTGAGCATAGCGGCAATCGTTCTCCCCCCGGGTACAATTCCCACGCTGAAATTCACGGCAAACCTTAAAGAAGAAAACACAAAAACACAGACACAGACACACACACACATATCAGTATGATGACTGGAAGGTGGTTGGCTTTTATTTGCTTTGCCAATGCATGCAAGGATAATTATATACATTTTGTCATTTACTTAAGGAAAATCTGAAAAGATGAAGGCTAATCAAAAGCCGTATTCACTATAGGACGGAAACACAGACAATGCATTTTTGAAAAAATTCCATCCTCCACAAAGGAAAGTTTTTCTATTTTCCTTACACTGACCTAAACTTGTATCTGAAAGTATTATGGGAAACTGATTTTAATCCTCCAGTTAATACACAGCCTCAAGTGTAATTAGTTTTTTTAAGATTCAAGATGAGTCTTTATCACACAGCAACACACTGGTAGTTTTCCAAGGCCAACTTGTGAACCATGATTGAGTTACATGTACAATCAGATTCCATTGCAGTACATCACCAGGCATTTAAGGGGCTGTCAATGGAGCTAACTTTCTACAAAATCAACTAATCATTTATTTCAATTTACAAAAAAAACCCAACAATTAAGGAAAAATGGAAGGACTTCAGTAAACCAAAAGCTGTTGAAAACTTCTTTTTGATTCTTTAGGTATTATGCAGTATTAATTATATAGTACATAATTCTTAAGATAGAAAAAGGTTTAAACACTATGAGACTCATGTACATTCTGCATTCATATGACTTTACATTTTACAATCATAGAGTTAGATTAAATTTGTTTTTCCAGTTTACTATTCTAGTAAGTAGAGGATCATTAACAAATACAGTAATTCCACTCTGTAAAGCTGGAGCCTGAATATAAGGAGCATTCTCACCCAGACTTCCTATGCCATAGCATAGTCTAGGCTGGGTACACTTAAAACTTTGTTTGACCAACTGTATCAATGAATCAATGTACTTAATAATAAGGTATAAGTGTAGCAATAAAATGTTTAACATTTTTCTGAGATTATACTCCATAGGCTAAAAACCTTTGGGTGTACTTATTTAAAATATTTAACACATTGGGTTCTGAAAATGTTACTTTATACATAAGGTTAATATCCACCTTACAGGTATTTATATATTTCTTAATAAATACCTCCAGTTTATCCGAACGCATCAGTTTTGGACCAGCAACTCCTGGCAAAGCGAGAGGTGGATTCCCAGAAATCAGAACAGGCGTATTTGGTAAAAGTTCTGCAGGAACTAGGCCCATCCCAGGATGAGGTACATAAGGATTGAAAGCCATGGCAGGATTAGCCGCAATGGACGGATTCACAGGAAAAGAAGCCTGTATGTTTAACAGAGGGGATAGAAGTGTTAGAAGTAAACAGATTCTTCCTATTATCGCATAGTATGATATTCTTGCAGAAATATCAGAATTTCCTAAGCCATATCAATGTTTACCATTGTCTATCCTGATTGGCTTATTTTTAATCTCCTGGTAATGCCTATATGGGAGTTTCTTTTAAAGCAACAAATCTCTTCAAGCAACAAATTTATTGATAAGCTGATCAAGCAAACTTCATGATTTTAAGCCATGAATAAACTAACTTAAATCTCATTGTTCCAAATGTATTTTTTAAAATATTTTTTTAGTTGTAGACGGACACAATATCTTTATTTTATTTATTTATTTTTATGTGGTACTGAGGATCGAACCCAGTGCCTCATGTGTGCAAGGCAAGTGCTCTACCACTGAGCTGCAACCCCAGCCCATTCCAAATGTATTTTTTCCAGTACTTTTGTTTTTACTTAAAAACCACATTACCAGTGACAGCACATATACAGACAATCTCCCTTGTCTCCTCACACAGGCTTGTACTCTGCCGGTGGACTTTGGGTACTCCTGAAACCCCCCTTCTTTCCACCCTTCTCCCTCTTACCCATCAGTACTACTTGGCTCTAAGGCTGCCCTTCATACCATAGTTTCCACCTGTATTACCAAACACTGACCTTGATTCTTTTCTTAGTCTGGAAGACAGCAAAGAATTGATGAAGAAAAGAGCAGGTTAGAAAAGTGAATACTTGGCTGGCTGCATGCCTGTGATCCCAGTGATTCAGGAGGCTGAGGCAAGAGTATCACAAGATTAAGGCCTAAGAAATTTAGTGAGACCCCATCTCAAATTAAAAACAAAAACAAAATAAATAAAAGTGCTGAGGATATGGCTCAGTGGTTAAGCACCCTCTGTTTAATCCCGGGTAGTAGTAGTAGTACTAGTAGTACTACTAGTAGTAATAATAATAATAATAATGGGCTAGGGTTATAACTCAGTAGTAAAGCACCCTGGGCATCAATTCCCAGTACCAACTTTTTTTAAAGTAAGTACTTTAACCATTTTTTCTATCTACCTAAAATGAGATTGATATGGTCATTATATTTTTTTATTCTTTAACTAGACGTCCTACTTCACAAATGAATCTTGACTTGCCCAGCCTTGTGTTTATCTAGGGGGGGCAGATGATATAGTTCAAAAGGAGGCCCTAAAATACTATAAGGATCCTTGTTAGACAAGAAGAGATAAGATAACTTGGTGGATACAAACTAGAGCACAACTTATAAAGAAAAGCCTTAGAAATGCAAAGGCTATTACTGATTTTTTTATTTTTAAAAGTCCTGGATTCAAAGAGCTTGATATGTGTATTGCCTTTATTATCTGTAACCACATAATTTATCACTTTACTGTGCTATTTTCCAGTTTGTTTCACACATGAACTTCTTTACTTATCAATGTAGTCATAATTTCTTTGATATTTCTCTTGTCTCCTCTAAAGTACTTAATGCATAGTGAATCACTGACAGATATAATCAATGATGAGTTTTAAAAATATTTGAACTGTAATGAGTGAATAATACATCTGATGAGATGTAGTGTATTTCTAGTAGTGACTCAGTAAGGTAGTTATTGTGTAATTGCTGCTGTCTCATTGTGTATTGCTTTTTTTTTTTTGGCAGTGCTGAGAATAGAACCCAGGGTCCCTCACATGCTAGGTAAGCACTTTTCCACTGAACTACATCCCCAGCCCTTCATTATGTATTACTAATCACATGTGCTCTTTCTTGCTTTCTTTTTCTTTCATTAAAAAAAAAAAAAAGCTGATATATTGCCTAGCTGTGCCTAGACTTGCTAAGTCACACTAATTGGAACTTCTCTAAATACAGGAGACTAGGAAGCCATAGACCCTGGATGGGGCAACCTAGATTCCCTGCCCCAACCTCTGTGCTGACTTGTAATTTTCACCAGTACAGACTCTCCAAGAAGCTCCTGTTACAAGCCACATTCAATTTACATGTAAGCACTCCTCCATTAGCACTCTGCCTTGGTTGAATTTATCAAATTAACTGTTTGATATGTTATGAAGGACAGAAAGAATTTGGCCTCAAAGAACTGGCAAGACTCACTGGGGTGAGTGAAGAAGGCATGGTGGCTGACAGCTTAAGAGGAAAAGGGTGACACCAGGTGCCAGAAAAGTTGGTGAAGTAGTCAGGGGAGAGGGTTTAAGGTTTGAGGACTAACATCTTAGGGCTGACCCAGCCGAACTAAGTCCAGGTGATGTAAAAGTCTCTAGCCTCATCAAATGAGGTGTGAAACTCTAGGAATTAGCTGATATGACATTATTTTATTTCATAAGAAGGAAATCCTTTGGAAACAGCCACCCAAGCATGCTTCAGCAACAAGGCAAACTTCACTAAATGATTCATGGTTATATCAAAATCAGCAAGGATCTCAAGGTAAAAACTCTATATTTGCACCACACAGTAATCTTCTTTGTTTTAATTTTTTTCTGGGACTTTTGTGGTAAGTTTCTCACGGAAGTCACCATTCCATTTTCCTGGATAATTTTTGCTTTTGCCTTTTGCAAAACTAGAAAAAGACCATTATTATATCTATTAACCATTGGACTAAAACTGTTGAAAGATTGGGAGGTGGATGAATTTCCCAGATTAAAAAAAAACACTAATCATTAACAATATTAATTTAATTAATGATCATTTAATATTTAAGTCTAATGTACATATGAGCAATGCCTTCTTTTTATGGTAGCTCTGAACTTCTGTTATTTTTTCCTTTCCTTTTGGGGGTGACTCACCAGGGAAATTTTCCTGATTAACTTCTATTATCTTTGGAATAAATTTAACTTACTTAGTCTGTTACATACTTCAAGCATATGGGAAAAAAAGCTTTAAATAATGTCTATATACAAAGTGTAAGGGGGCTGCTGAAAACACTTAGATCTTTAAAAGATTTCACCATGAACTATACTGTGCTGTCTTTAGATTTTAAAATCAGTATCAAAGCTTTTATGACCATTTCCTCCTTGGGTATAAATTTCTTTCTATAACACTATTTATTGAGAAGAAGCAAGTTTGTCCACTCACAGCCCTGGGGCAGAGGCAGGAACTCCCAGCTGCTTATTTATTTTCCAATAGACATTTCTGTTTTCTCACCGCCACCTCTGCCCCAGGGCAACTACTCCATTTCATGAATTTGAACATTCAAGGACTTAACTTTGACTAACAGCCTGCAAACTCACATATTCAGCTTTAGTAAGCAACTTAATCCTGCTTCTATCTATATCATAGCCCTTGATGTCAGTTGAGCAAAGTGAATCTATCTGTGGGTTAATCCTATTTCAAAGAAAAAAGGTTGGGTTTTTTTTTTTTTTTTTTTTTTTTTTTTGGCTGGGGATTGAACCCAGGGCCTTGTGCATGCTGAGCACATGCTCTACCACAGATCTACTCCCTCAGTCCTAAGAAAAAAGGCTCTTAATACATTGAATTTTATTTCTCTTTGAAGCCTAAACTAATCTGGATGTTTAAATGTATTTCAGATATTCAAATCTGAACCTAAGTTATTCACCAAATACTTGAAAATGTGAAAAGGTTTTTTTTTCTTTTCCCAGAACCAGAGGTTTTTCATCTTTCTGAGTCTTGTAAAACAACAATAATGGCAGAGATAACAGACTTTTTGAATAAGATTACATGAAAAGTATTTACCCTCAGTATCTGTTGCATATCACCTCCTATGATAGGAATCCCTGTGAGTTCCTGGTGCCTACCACTGTACCTATGAGGCACTTAGGAAATGCCTCCTAAAAATTAATGAAATGTCTTCAGTACAGTGGTTTCTAATCCTTTTCTAGTCTCAGACTTCTCTAAGAGTCAGATTAAAGCTGCAGACCCTATTCACAGAAATACTCATGTGTTTACAAAATATTTCACATGACCTTAGGAAGTTCAAGGACCCCAAGATACTCACCCCTGGTGCATAGTTATGGATTACTTAGTGATTAAGAAGCTAAATGCTGGGGCTGGGGTTGTGGCTCAGTGGTAGAGGGCTTTCCTAACGTGTGTGAGGCACTGGGTTTGATCTTCAGCACTCCATAAAAATAAATAAATAAATAAATGAAATAAAGGTATTATGTCCATCTACAACTAAAAAAATGAAGGAAGAAGGAAGAAGGAAGAAGGAAGAAGAAGAAGAAGAAGAAGAAGAAGAAGAAGAAGAAGAAGAAGAGGAGGAACCAGCAGCAACAGCTAAATGCTCTAGAGTAAGGATCCACAATCTAGGACCCCTGGGCCAAATATGGACTGCCCTTGTTTTTGTATGGCCAGTAACCTGTTTTTTTATAGTTTTAAATGGTTGAAAAAATTAAAAGAATAATAATATTTAGTAGCACATGAAAATTATATGAAATTCTTGTTTTAATGCCTATCTACAGATGAAGCTGTGTTCATCAGTTAGACCTGTGTAATAAAAAATTGTAGATACTTGTTCTCTCTCGTTTCGTATAGGTACCTATTCAATATCTTCTTTTCCCATAAAGAATATTTACTATATAGCCATTTATAGAAAAGCTCACTGTATTTGGTTCTAGAGGATTCCAAAATGTAAAATACTACAACTTCTGGAGTAAAGCATCAATTATACATAAATCCGCTGATGCGAAAATTTAATATCTTTGGCAAGATTCTACAAGTTGAAGAAGTTTGGCTGATATTCATGAGCATGTTCTTTTAAGCAGACATTAAATAAGGTTTTCAACTGTATAGATCTGTATAGATCACTCCTCAGTGATTGACAATGGGAAAAGAGTACTTGGAATCCTATAAAGGTAAAACTTTAGGAGCCACTGCATATTTGCCTTAAAGTGTTCTGTAGCTCCCTTGAATTATAAAACAATTCAGAGAAATATTAAGCTTCTTTATCCATTTATGTGTTGATGGACACCATGATTAATTCCATATCTTGGCTATTGTGAATACTGCTGCAGTCAACATGGAAGTGC